CTTGGCCTCTGTTAATTACTAAACGGTTTTACTTGATTTACTGATTATTACTGATTACTATTCATTCTATTAATCCATATTCGTATAACTTTTTCAATAGTTCTTAATTATAAATTAGTTTGATGTTCTTTTGATGGTGATTGGCAAATCTCAACTATATTTTCAATAATATACTTTCAACATAATGTTCCATTATTGTGTAATAACTAAGTCTTATTTATCTATAATTTTTAAATAATACCTGAAACAAAAACATTTTCACAGTTATTTTCTATACGTATACATGTTCATTATTTAATGTTGAAAAAATGACATGTTAACCAAATTAAATTAATGTATACTCATCTGGTAATGAATCCCCATACAACAAGCAAGACTCTCTATGATTGTATACTAATTTTATTCATAACGTACTTCTAAATTAATTATTTATGATTTCAATAGCATCAAGAATGAAGGCTCTTAAGTAATTTAATTCAAATTAATAAAATTATATATTCATAAATGAAACTTGACTGCTGCTACTCAACATCACTTTGAGTTGTTTTTCTTAAAAAAGCCTTCATTTTTTATATTATTCAATATATCAAATAATAGTTTTGAAGAAAGTTATAAATAAAATTAGTGTACAATATTAAATACTCTATCTTATCAAGAGCTAAGGTTATATGCTGATGGCAAGAGAGCAGTCAACGACTTTTTGGCCCCCCCCCCTGGCCGACCTTCAGAATTAATAAAAAATAAAATAAAATTATAGAAACTGATAGTTTTTTAATTGCTCAATACGATTATGTCCTCAGATGTTTTTGCTCATCTATAGTTTGTCAGTAATTCATTAATAATAATTGGTTTATCATCTGCGATTTTAAACTTTAATAAATTTATTATTATAATATATTTATAACTTCCTAAAATTGTTAAAAGTTGCCTATGAATCGATTCAATTTGCCCAGTTGCCTACAATTATAAATTTCTAATATTTTATACAAAATAATTTAATAAAATATGGACTCTATTATAGCCTGCGTGATTTATGCATTGCGCATACACAGCTACGCTGCTCCATAATTTGTCCGCTTTTTAAGAGTTTCCAAACAAATCTTAAGTTCAGTGTGTCTGTCTCTTTACAATAATAATTAATTTATAGCTTACAATATTAATTTAAATTATTGGAGTATTACACCAATTGATTTCTTTTATTATGCTCATCATATTGGTGATTCAGACTTGAGAGTTTAGCATCTATAAAAAAAATATATCTATGTCCAGATTAGTAAGGTAATAAAAAAAATAATATAAAATACACAACATTATCATTACTCCATAATTATTTGTTTGGAACCACTAAAACAGATGAGAGTGATTAGTCATAAAATATAAATTAATTAATTATTATTGTAAACAGACAGACACACTGAAATTAAGAATTGTTCCGAAACTCTTGAGAAGCGGGCAAATTATGGTGCAGCGTAGCTGTGCATGCGCAATGCACAAATCACGCAAAGTTCACGCATGCGTTTTGGCTTATCGGCGTCTCAGACAGAGACCCACCGCCATCTAGTAAAGTAAAGTAAAGTAAAGCAAATCACGCAAGCTATAATAGAGTCCGTATTTTGTTAAAATTTTTTTTTAATATCAAACATTTGTCATTATAGTCAACTGGGCAAATTAAATTGATTCATGAATAATTTTTTAAAACTTTAGAAAGATATAATAAAAAAGATATTAAAGTTTAAAATCGCAGATGGTAAATCAATTATTATTAATTAATTACTGACAAACTATAGATGGGCAAAAACATCTAAGGACAATTAAATTATTGGGCAATTAAAAATCTATCAGATTGTATAATTTTATTTTAATTTAGATTAATTCTGCTGGTCGGGCAGGGGGGGGATGACCCTTTGTCTGATTGAATCACCCGTTACAACGGATAAAAAGCAAATTACAAAAGTGATTATTTTACGATCGGGTTATCAAATTCACCAGTGCTTGGTGAACGCGCAGACGCAAAAGAGCTACATTTATTTTAATTTTTTTAATAAATCAAATATTGCATTTTTTTTAATTAAAAATGATAAAAATTAAATCATGCCTGGTCTAAATAGCACTGAAAAGTAATTCTTTTGTGCCGGTTATGTATGAAAATGCACGTATATGCATTTCGACGTGTTTATCTATATCAAAGCGTTATTCTTTTGATTAACTAAATTATTTCTTTTTTATAGATGAAAGATGCGTACTAGATAACGTCGCAAAATCTTTGAATCAGAATTTGCCAGATATAAATCTAGAAGATATAAATATATCTCTAAACAGTGATATTCTTTCTTCTAGTTACGCTACTGAAATCTGTAAGTATGCATGTAAATTGCTCCATTTTGTAATTAGCTTGAATTTAATATAAAAATATCATCATCCAATGAATTTTAAATGAAAAATTACGAATTTCAAATTAATTGTTCATGTATAATTATTTTTATGATTCGTGTATTGAAATTCAATTTTTTTTTTACTTTAAGCATACTTTTCCTCATCATTCAAAAAGTACAATATATACATAGATTATCTAATTTTTTTTAAATATTGAAAGTAATTTTTGCTATATATGTAGATTATACAAAAATAAATTACTAATAACCGTTTCCTCATAATAATATTTATGGTATTCTATAACAAAATTTATGATTGTTTTTATTTTATTTTCAGGCCCAAATAGCACTGCCATATACACATTAGTAATTAAAAAAGCTTCAAAGTCAGAAAATAGTGATAATTCACTATTTAACATTGAATCGCTGCCTATTACTATAGCAGATAATATCGAAGATTTAAATATTTATCACTTTGATGAAAAGGAGAATGTTACTTCATACGAAGCGAGAAGAAGTTTGAACAGCGTTCATAAAGGTATGTCTCGCCACCTTTTAGATTATTTTCGATCAATTCATATTATTATTATTATTATTGACACTCTATTCGAGTTGATCAATAACTCAGGGACACTCAGTTTTCACTATTGTATTTATCTCGGATAGTTTGAGAACTATCTTCCTAGTTAACCCTCAGTGACCATTAGGATACCTACCGCTCTAACAAATCAGTATATTCCCTAAAATTGTCATTGTAAATACCGCGCGATCAAAAATCACAATCATTCCTGAGTGCTCCATTTATTTTTTGCAGTTGCCCTACCGTTGAGTATTTATTCTTGTCTTGAGAATAATTGACGCCTTAGGCTTCTTTCACTTTTTAGGTGTCGACTTGTGGCAATGCACCTTCTTAGAATGCCCGTAAACTTTCCCAAGATGCTATTTCATCTTTCCTGTAGTATCTTAAGGAAGATGCCATTCAGGCTCGGTGTTTTATACGATTCAAAGGAGTTCACTAATCTCACTTTTTCCAGAGACGGTTTGTACTGCTATTGCCAGTCTAGATTCTCCCGTGTTCCCACCTCTCATTGTACCTGAGTCCCTACCGCCGTTTCGTCTCCCTCCTTACACGGGCAGCAAAGCTTATTTTTACGCGCAGCTCAAACTGTTCCTCCTCTGTTTTTAATTGTAAGGCTAAGAACTTTTGTCTTATTAATCATATTAGTTTCCACTCATATTAATTTACACTACTGCAAACTTCTATGGATAGATGATCTGGGCCGTCTTTTATACTCTGTAAACAAGCGCTGCTCTCCTTAGTCAGAAGCCTGGCTTGTTTATCAGTGTTTCCCAAGCTTTCCTTACTTGACAATTGTTTTTCCATATCTCCCGCTTTGTTACATTCACTTTCCTCTTGATATTTGTAAGTGCGTTTTATAAGCACTCCATTCTTCTGAGTTAAACTCCCTCGCTCTCTTGAAAGTTTTCTGGACTTCTCTTTTCTTTTATTGTACTCGTGTTTTAAGGGGGTCATTTCTCTCGTATGTCACCAATAAGGTACTCTGTACCTGATGTAATGTCCAGTCCAAGTCTTCGCAGCTGCGATACTTGCTTTTAAAGGTAGCCAATCTCTTTAGCTCCTCCTTGTACCCCTGACAATCTGTATTTTCCGGATTCCTCGTAGACTGACTTTTTGGTTTTCTGTCTTCTACCTTTTATGTGAAGTAATAGTCTTATGGTCTGTAATGAATGTTTCTTTCACCACTCTTCATCCTACTTGTTTTGTCTTTGATGCCTATTGAAACCAATGTATAATGGTGGGCTCATTCCTTGATTCACAATATCTATCTTGGTACTGATGTCTTATTCGAGTGCTACTCTTTGCTTTCATTGCATTAATATTAGTGCTTCCCTATGCTGTATGGTAAACATTGGTTTCGCATGCAACAATCAAGTCAACATTCTGAAACCTGCAGTTTTCTATTACATCTCGCATGCCTGGCATCGGTATCTCTTTCTCATGTAGTAGATAAACCGATATGACAATAGTGGTTCTTCTACGCAAATCCCCATTTGCCACTTTTATCTTGTTAGTAGTAAAGTCATACAGGCTTCATGGCATAGCCCCTGGAGATTAGTTCTAGTAGTAGAAACTGATCAAACCCTTGACGCAAATGCTCGTTCGCACATTCCCGACTTCACAATGAATTCTCGTCCATTTGCTTTAAGCTTTTAATACAGTTATTTGATACATACGATTCCCATATCAGTGCTATGTGTGTATGTACCCCACCTATGCTTTTTGTTAATACCGCAGAGAAGTTTGCAGTAGTATAAATTAATATGAGTGGAAACTAATATGATTAATAAGACAAAAGTTCTAAGCCTTACAATAAATACTTGTTATATAATGATAATAATGGAATATTATTAAATAGGAACAGATGATTTAGAAATGAAATCTGATGCTGTTGTGGTTAATATTAGATCTCCAAAGGATGAACTGCAAAATGAAGAATTTGAAATTATATCGACTGAAACGTTTGTAAATATTTCTCCTAACGAAAAGGAATCAATTAAAAAATCTGATGGAGAATTAGTTGATTTAGCAATTTATAGTTATGAAAATAACGATATTTCCAAGGAAAATGTAGAAGACAAAACAATGTCTATGGTTCGTCAGGATTTACAGGTTGATGATTATGTTGAGATTAACCCAGTTATTGAATGTCATACACAGAACTCTGAAAATTCATCTTGTGGTAAGAATCCTGCTATCCTAGCTGTTTTATATTTGTTATTTATTTGTCGATTTATCTCTCTCTCTCTCTCTCTCTCTCTCTCCTTACTATCACACATTTACTATTTAACACGAGGTTGCTTTACTTATGTATATTGCAATGATTGCAATGATAATAGTAAAGGAACGCTGATGGGTCACAGGCAAAGTTAGTTCTCTTGTAATATCTTCTGATTAAAACATCATCAGGATACTATGGAAATTGTTTTTTATTTTAGATATATTTCGAACATATAAAAAAAGTAAAATACACAATTTTCTGATCGCTATATACTTTATCGGTACATAATCATATTCACGTCTTTTTTATGCCTAAAAATGAAGAATTCTTCTTTTCATTCCCAAGTCGATAGAAAGCTTGCCAAACTTTGTTCGACCTATTATAGTAGCAAATTTTTATGCTTCAGCTAAGACCGTTTGTGCATAAATTGCCGCGTATTTTACTATGAATCTGCTATTTGGCGTGTAATTGAAATTATTTTGATAAGCATTTTTACAGTCTGTATCGAATGTAGTTTCATGATTTTGGTTTTCAATCTTGTGTCTGTGTCTGTGTCTATCAGTATCGTGTCTGCCATTTCGACAGACTATGTGTGTGTTAAGTTTTCTATCTTCTTGTTATTAGAAAGATTGTCAAATCTGTTTTGACGTCTACTTCAAACTTTTTGATGAAGGATTCAATACTCGAGTTTTTCAGTTTTTACGTTGTCACGATGTAGAAGCGTCTGTTTGAGGTTCACATGAGAGTTTTCCAGTCTTCTTTACGGAGATTTTCGATTTAAGTAAGACGCTCGGCTTGCTTAGTTTGATAAATGACTTCTCGAATTATCTATCGACTAAGGTGCTGAGTAAAAGCTTGGATAATTGAAGTCGAAGTTGAACTTGGCGCTGTTTTAAAGGATTCCGTATTTTCCTCGACTTCGATAATTTGATGCTGTCGGTTTCGTTCTTGACACTTCTCAGAAACATTAATTTTGATGCACTGTTGTCGGAGTTGTTTTATCACTAACAAATTTACGTACTGTTGTAAAGCGAAAACTTAAACAAAGCGAATAATGATTCGAATTCAATTTGGCAAAGTGGAACTGTGAACAGAAAACATGTCTCCTTACTAGAATTACGTTCTATCAATTTTTGAAAATATATGATCGGAACTTGTTTTTACGCTCTCTAAAAATATAATTTCTAAAAATAATCTAAAAAGATAATATCTTAAACAAACTTGTATCGGTAAGATTTTCCAAGAGGTTCATTAATCTGTTTTGAAATTGCAATTTATAAAAGATGAAACAATTATTTTATATGGAAACGCTATGACTTCGTACCATACCAATGACCAAGATTGGTCTATGATTAGTACTTCACTGAGACAGTTGGGTGACTTTTTAAAGTCACCCAACTGTCTCTCCAACTGACTTCTCGACTGCTCGAGAAGCTAATCCGAAAATTGAGACGTTCGCTGATATTTTATCTGCAAGAAACAATATTGATATAATCGAACAATCTCTGCTAAAAATAGTTGATCATAATCCATTGACAGAAAAGATAGCCAAAGGAAACAAACTACAAAAATTAACAATTTTGATTAAAAAAGTAATAGGATTTTACGAGCGTTATTGCCTTCGCAACCATTTGGACCATGCCAACGAAGTTACTGTAATCAAGAAACTTTTTGAAGACTCTGCAAAAAATTTGAACAAAAAAGCTCGAGACTGCTTAATTGAGCAAGAGAAAGAGAAACTACCACAAAAACTTCCAAAACCTGAAGTAATTCAGCAATTATATTGCTATACAGAAAAAAAAGAGCTACTGCCGAAAAAACATTGATTAATTTTCTTCATGAGGGAATAGGACATTTCTCTAGAAATGATTGGATAGTTCTAAATGAATCGACTTTACTTTTATTGCAAATTTTTAATCGGAAACGACAGGGGGAATTGTCGCGATTGCTCTGGACGGATCTTAATGAAAAATGTATTTATAAAATTGATAAACATTCTAAAGGAGACGAGTACAAAAGACTTTCTGAAAAAGATAAAAATATTGCTAGTAACTATTGCCGAGTATCTATTAAAAACAAACTACAAAAAAAACGAGTAGGTTTACTCATTCATAAGAGATTGCTATGTAGCATATACCTCATTGGTGAGCTCAGAAAGCATGCTGGCATCCCAGAGAACAACAAATACGTTTTTGCAAAGCCTAACAACAAGCTTGCCGACAGAGATACGTATTTTGAAGCATACATTGTTATGAGGCAGTATGCAGTTCAGTGTGGTGCCCAGAACCCTGAACTTCTTCGTGGAACTTTGCTCCGTAAACAAATTGCAACAATGCTTTATGGGATGGATGCGGGAATCGGCATTAGCAAGGAATTGGCAAGATTTCTCTGCCACCATTATGATATTCATGAGCAATACTATAGGCTTGAAATCCCTTTCAAAGAGATAGTACAACTAACACCCATATTTGTAGATGGGCAAGGTGGCGAGGATACGTCATGTTTACCATGTTTAGCAAACGATGATCCAGAAATCGATAATGGTATGTCAATAAGATAAGTTTTCAGAATCAAACTTAGACTTATCAATTAATCAGAACAAAGCTAATAATTTTTTTTAACCTATGACTTCGTTCCTCCATAATTCCTATTTTTCTTCGTTTCCTTATTTTTTTAGATCAATTTTTGTTTCTAAATATCAGCTATGATAATTACGCAATAAAAAAATACGAAATTTATAAAATCACGGTAAAAGTTTTTAATTTTCACATTTAATACTAATGCATCGTGTATTAGAATGTGAATGCTATTCTATGTGCATTATTAACTAAAAGATAACAATCAAAAACGAAGATTTTTATATTCAGTTGCTAGATTTATTTTTCAGTTACTTTTTTCAACTACTTTTGTATTTACTTTATTCTTTTCCTCATAACATTTTAAATATACTTATTTTCCGCCATTGATAATATTTCTTCTGCTTTTGATTCTTCTTCGTCTTTTTTCTTATAAGCTTTTGTTCTACTCTATTTTATGTTACCAAGTTAGCTTCCTTCCCTAACCTTTCCTGTAACTACTTCCCTGCTTTTGTTTCTTTGAATTGTAACAGCTTCACCAAGGACTCCCATGAAAGTAACTTGTAGATGAATATTTTGTAGGCGAAAACACAGAAACAATGAACAATTTAGCCTTGAGAATACCAACATAAATGTGAACCAATTGTAACTCAATTCCAACAATGTCTATGGTCAGTCAAAGTAATTTTAGCAATAGAAGTAGTCGTTTTGTGTGTTTGATTTTATATCTTATTTTTGCGTGTATATTTGAATTAGTTTTTAGTTAATGTGATTGTGCATATTTGTTATCGATTCTATACTAACACAATATTTTTTTCCTTCATTTTATTCAAATATTTATCTATCTTTTTATTTAATATTCATTTTTTAATATATTAGTAGTGGACGAATCAGAGAACAGAGCTTATCTTAATAATAGTGATGACTCTAATGATGAAGGTGCAAAAGAGTTGATGAACGATGAAGATGATTTTAATAATGTTTCCATTGAATCCATTGAACAGATTGATGTAAGTAAGTTGGACATTCCAATCAATGAAATAAACTTAAGACCTAAAATTAAAAGATCATCAAAAAGAAAGTCATCGAGTAGTGAAGATGATATACCGTTGAAAAAACGATCGAAAAAAGATTCTTCACCAGAATACATACCTGAAGCAGAATATGAAACCGAATCAAATTATGATTTTGATGAAGAAGATACTGTTGATGATTATTTTGAAGATAGAAAGAAGGAAAAATTACAAAATATAAAAACAAAGAAGCTTTTTGGGCTTACATCTACAGTTGTAAAGAAAGCGAACCATGAAGGTGAGCAATTATCATTAATTATTCAATAAGTAGAAAGATAATTTGTAGTTCTATTGCTACCTTGTCTCAAGCAATAATCATTCTTATGAAAAAATTACGAGGACTTTTCATTAAGTCAGTAGTTTGGCTTAGAGTCGCACTGCTATTGTAACATATATATGTACATATATTGTAACTAAAAAAATACCGTCTACTATCATTATGATTGATTTTATGAGAATTACAGTTTAGAAAACTTAACGGAGCCTGAATATCTTTTAGCTATATTATAAATGTATAGTCAGGATGGTACTATGTAAAAAAAACGAGTAGACATTTTTGTGCGAAAAGTATTTCAAAGTTTGAAAAGGGTGAATTTATTAAATAACCCTCAGATATTAAATTTCGCTCAACATTCCATTCTTTTTTATGACATATTCATGCCAACTACATTCAACAGGGCGTCCACTATCCATTTATTTCTCAGTATTGATGTTCGGTTTTCTTATCATTTTTTAATTAGCCCATTGGTCGGAGCTATATTTAATTCTTTATTTTCAAAATTTCTAATAGAAAATAAAAATAATTTCAAATGTTTTGTTACAGGCAGGCGAGTAGTTCCATGGACCGATGAAGAAAAGCAAGCCATAAAAGAATTTATAAAAACCAATGGTAAACCAAACAGAGTAACAACAAATTTTATTCAGCAAATCAAAGATGCTAATAAACAGATTTTAGCACATCGCAGCATCGCAGTTTTAAGAGCACATCTTCACAATTTTGGCTACGTCGAAAAAAGCTAGAGTATACAAATCACATAGTTGTTTCAATAATCAATAAAAAACTAGTTAATAAGTATAAATGTAGTAACGTAAACTGAGTTTACTTTAATGAGCTATATTATATATCGTTGAAATAAAGATTGGTGAAAATGTAATATTCTTTTCTATGAACCCTGCTGTGTTCATATTCATCTGATCCTCAATGTCACAGAAATCCGTCATGACCAACAATACTAATTCAGATATAGGTAATTTTTATTCGTAAACACAATTCAGATAGCCATAATACATTTAATACTATGTGTCATGGAAATCGTCTCTCGCTAATAACTTTATAAGTTGTATGGTTGTGGGAATTTTTTTATTTGTGAACACAATGCAGAATCAGTAATGCATTTAATACTAAGAGTTACGGAACTCTTCAGTCGCCATATGCATATGATACTTGTTCAATTAGGAAAAAGTTGTTCATCGTGAACATATTTTATTTAGCCGCGATTCTTCAGATTATTCGCGTCGCAAAAATCCACCGTCACATTACTAACGATACATGATACATTATCCGCTTTTATAGAATATTTCAGCTGACCGGATTTGCAGGACACAGGGTCGCGACCGATAATGCTCGATATGTCGATCAAAAAATGATTTATGGGCATAATAGAACTATTTGTAGACGAATGATTATTCCAGTGGGGATATCTGAAAAGTATGGTACGAAGGAATCATTTCTATAATGTTCATTATGAGTTGAACTACTTTGAAAATCTACGTTAGCTTTTCCATCAAAAACTAGGCTAAATCCATGTTGGAACATCGTTTTTCGACCCACAGTGCCTACTACTTGCTTGAATGATATGTAATTGATTACTATATCACATTGCTAGAATGCAAAAGGCCTATAGTATCCGCTTTTATAAAATATCTCAGCAGACCGGATTTCCAGGACACAGGTTCCTGACCGATGATAATGCCCGTTATCTTGTTCCAAAAACGAATTATGGGCTAACTACAATTATTTGTAGACGAATGATAATTCCAGTGGGGATATCTGAAAAGTAGTGTATGAAGGAATCATTTATATAATTTTCCTTATGAGTTGAACTACTTTGAAAATCGAGATATCTCTGAAAAGTAAGGTACAATGAAATCAATTCTATAATGTTCATTATGAGTTGAACTGATGTTAAAATCTACGTTAGTTTTTCTCTCAAAAACTCCGCTATATCGACGTTGGAAAATTATTTTTCGACCCCCGGTGCTTAGGGCTTGCTCTCATGATAGGTAATTGATTTGTATATCATATTGCTAGAATGCAAGAGGCCTATAGTGTCCGCATTTATAGAATATCTTAGCTGACCGGATTTGCAGGACACAGGGTCGCGACCGATAATGCTCGATATGTCGATCAAAATATGTTTTATGAGTAACTCATTAATGTTAATTTACTATTTTCCGTTTCAAGTGTGAGTTTTTCTAACACGGATACTACGTTTAGGTTGAGCTTTTGAATATTTAATATTTTATCTCTCATTAAAGTCTCCATTATAATGTTGTCTAATGGGCAGAATATGCCTTATAGCATGATAAATGGTTTGGCTAATTAAGTTTAATATTTTTTTTGCTGTCTTAATTTTGAGTGATTTAACTGTTGCTCAATTTACAAGATGTTAATTTTTGCTTCAAATTTTAATATATTATCTTTTGTTTTATAAAATATCATTACTATCATCTTTATTTTTCTAATTTCAAGACGTGATGTTTTAGTTTTATTTCCAATGATATCATTTTCTATGTTTTCAATAACCCATTTTTTCTTCAATTTCATTCATTTTCAGCCTTTGCATTAAATTTAATACTTTTCATTTCTATCTTATACTTATCATCTTTTTCTTTTCTCCATATACTTTTATTATTACCCAGACTTCCATACGTTCCGGGCACATAAATATCTAATATTCTTATTAGTTTTTCTGCCATTTGATCAATTTCCCAATGCTCAATAATAGAATTTTTTCGCATATGTTATTGGTTGAAGAACTTATGAAATGAAAACAAGAAAGAAGTCTTATGCATTTATTAAACCTTTAAAATTTTAATTTAATTTGTGAGTACACCATTTGCGTCACTATATCCATTTCCGATCACTTCCTCGAATATCTACCATAGACATGATTATTTTTAATAATAATTAATGAATGAATTTTCATAACGTATAAATAATATAAAAAAACTACTAGTTATTTCAGCTAACTGTTGCACATTTTTGTTTATACAAACACAATGATTTTTCTCCATGTCATGAATGATTTGGGAAATTTAACTATTTAAATTTAGTTTTTAATAAAAGCATTGTTTTAATAAAAAATTGTTTGAAATTAATAAATAGTTTATCGATTTGTGCTAATCGCAAGTAATTGTCGTGCAACAATTTTTATTAATACTTTTTAATACCCTACTTTGTGCTTTCATATGCTTCCAAATGAAAATGTTTAGTTTATCTATACAATGGACTCTAGACTCCATGATTGTCACCTTACATCTGACTTCAGTTCATAGACTCTACAATACAAAATAAAATACAATTTGTGATTTGTGATACATTTTATTAAAATTAATAATTTAGTAGTTTCATTTGATGAGTTGGTGTGATTATCTGTTGATGGTGTTGGTGTAGGCATAAAAAATAAACTACTTATCAGTTATCACTAAAGAGAAATGAGTGTCATAATGTTCAATATTTGAAAAAAATTGCTATATTTAAGTGAAAAATAAATAGAAAATTGAACAATTTTTTCCAAAGTGTACTTAATAATAATTAATACAAAATAAAGTTTATAATTTTATAATACATTTTATGGAGATCATTTTAGTAGTTCCTTCTTCATTTCTTTTTGATTCTGAAAGTTTTCACCAGTAAAAGTAGATTTATTAAAATTTAAGAGAGAGTCTTGAGATTTTAGTGATTATCAATTATTGATTCTTGTGTTTTAATTTTTAATTCAATTTTTCTTTGATTTTGGTTTATCAGATTATTATAGTAGAACAGCTTTAGTATAAATTATTAATATATAAATATTTATTAATTTAAAGTTTCTACTTATAACTTGAAGATTCTTTCATTGTTCCAGTGATGTGGCAAAAGTGTTTTGATCTCATCGACAAGATACCTTTCATTTATATTATTAATTAAACTAAAAATAATACTCCAATAAAACAAGCTTTATCTCTTAAACAAGTAATAAACTTTATTATTTCAACACAATAAGCTATTATCAAGAGTATGTACACATTTTTTTATAGTCTCAAAAGCTTGTCAATAAATAACTATATCAAATTCTTTTTTCATATTCAAATAAATGAAAAGTTGTTTGTCAATTAGCTATTACCAAGTGTACGTACAATTTTTATTGTCTCAAAAGCTTGTCAATAAACAACAGTAGTTAAATTTCTTTTTTTATATTCAAAATACTAAGCTGCTTACAAAACTTCAAATGACTCCACAATGTTTTCTTTGAAAAATACGAGAAGCGATTAGTACATTCTACTTTTTCAACTTCATATACAGCATCTTTCCTGATTTTCCTTACTGGTATAATAATACCTGTCATCTGGCGATAATGTGCATAGCCTTGATTACGTAAGAAAGATATGGCTGCGTTTTTCAAATTAAAATCTTCATGATTTAAATAGGTTTTTACAATATTCTTATCAGAGTGAAATAATCTCAAGTTTAATTTTAAAATGGTCGCAATAGATGCAGAGTCCTGCTCCATTTTTCTGTCCTATGAGATATTGCTCAATTACTAATTCATGAAGTATTTCCAGTTTCACATAAGCTCTATCAAGTTTTTTATCTAAATTTATATACAGAGCAAAGCCATAAAAATCTATAAAATAATTTGTAATAAAGAAATTTATGTGAACATATACTGCTTTGATATAAAGAATAAGATATTAAAATAACTAATTACCCTCCATATTTCCAGATGCATGGCTAAGACTCATCCTGGAATCAGATGAATCTCCTTGGCTTATTACAATTTCATTGGTTTCATTTCTTGGTAAATCTGGATATTTAGACACATATCTTTTGTTCATTTAATGAATTTTAGAACATTCAAAAATTTATAGTAACTTACCTATCATATCACATGTGAGGCACTCACAGAACAAATTATCATTACCAAAATAATTATTGCTGTAATAAACTACAAGTTCTTGGCCTTTTTTAATACATTTAAGTGTTCTTAAATAAACCATATGACTTTCTGCTGATACAAATTCAGAATTTGGCTTACAATCATGGTTTATAAATGCTATTGATCCTAAAAATATGTTGTTTTTATTGGATCTATAACTTTTAATTATAGAAAAATCATTTTTAGACAACGTTAATCTTTTTTCTTCATCATACGAAAGCGGTTCGAAGTATCCAAATATATTTTTCATCACAGTATAAGCAGGAATATCTTCATTGGCCACAACTTTTACACCATTGAAACCTTCTTTAGAATATCTAACACAATTTTCCAATTTCACTTTAGAATCAGGATGAAAGAATCTGAGGTATAGCTTAAAATAATTCCTAAGCCACTTTTTGTATGAAATGTTGAATTTAAAATAAAGATTTAACTCACAGACCACTTTTTCTAATTTAGTGAGAAGACTTTCAATGTCTTTGTTTTTGGCAAAATCAGAAAATATTTTGTTAACTTCATATTTTGCAAGGTCTTTGGACGTTTCAGCCATTGCATCTTTGTTAATTTTACGCACATTGTTCGAAAATTTATCAACTATAATCAACTTAGACAAATCATCTATGTTTATTAAAACTTCTGCGTTCATACTGATATTTTTTTTCTTCAAATAAATTTAAAAAATAAAATCAAAACGTAGCATTGGCTGGAATGACAAAGTCTGCATATGTGCATAACATTTATGCAGCGAGTCAGCTTAAATCCAAAATGTAGCACAAGTTCCCTCCGATAATTATGCAGACAATTACGGCAACTTATGCTTACAAGTCAGCATAAGTACCTATTTGCTTTGGATTTAAAAAATAGCTCATTATTTCATTATTAATCATTTTTATAACATCTTATGCATATACATGGCATAAGAAACACTAATCCTACCGATGAATAACGATTTCGGATGGCTTTTTTTCTGTCATCATAAGTACCTATATACGTATAAGTAGATAAGCAATGTATGTTCTGGGACACAAAGGAGCCGACAAAGGATGCCGCCAATGTATAAGGATACGTGTATGTTCTGGGACACAAAGGAGCCGCCCGATGAAGGTGTGAAGGTAGTGACACCTTTTAATCGCGATAAGGTGAGACCCCATGCCGAGTGTTGCATTTGATGTTCGTTCGACACCTCCCGCGTGCCAGTGGGCCCTTCGAGGGGGCCAGTCTCCCCCCCCCCCCCCCCGATAGTAGGACGCTTCACCCACCCACCCACCAACCCACCCACAGAGGTTGTTAAGGTAGGATGCTGTAGAAGTCGGTAGGGTGTTTGGTAAACTATATGCTTATGCTGGCTGAGTGAAGGACCCTCGGAGAGGGGGTAGCGTCTCTAGCTTGCTAGGCGCGTACGCCGTATAGTGAGGATGCTGTTTTCACTCTCTCTCTCTCTCTCTCTCTCTATCCCTCTCTCTCACTCTCCTTCGATAGTAGGGCGCTTCACCCACCCGCCCACCCACCCACAGAGGTTGTTAAGGTAGGATGCTGTAGAAGTCGGTAGGGTGTTTGGTAAACTATATGCTTATGCTGGCTGAGTGAAGGACCCTCGGAGAGGGGGTAGCGTCTCTAGCTTGCTAGGCGCGTACGCCGTATAGTGAGGATGCTGTTTTCTCTCTCTCTCTCTCTCTCTCTCTTTCTCTCTATCCCTCTCTCTCTCGCTCTCCTTCGATAGTAGGGCGCTATGGGGCCCCTTCGACAGAGTGAGACCCCATGCTGAGTGTCTAAAAGGCATTTGATGTACCTTTGACTTCACCCACTCTCCCACCCACCTACAGAGGTTGTTAAGGTAGGTTGCTGTAGAAGTCGTTGCTAAGCATAACCGATGTTCCTTTTTTAAATGAAGATGCGTTCTAGCAGCGTGCACTATCCTTTTTCAGGGCCACACATATAATTTAGGAAACTTTCGACCACCCACACCAGCTTGCACTTTCTCCAATAACGCTTTACCTCATGCTGAGGGTTAAAACGCATTCGATATTCCTTTTTCAATGAAGATGCGTTCGAAAGTATGTAAGCAGCAGGTGATTGGAGATAGAGTAATCTTAATGATGAATTGTCTGTTAGTCATTTTACTGCTTTTTTGCCTTAGAGATAAGGTTTTTGAGTTAGCCTTGTTTAGTTGCGTTAACATCCTCCAACATGCTGAGCGTCTAAAGCGAAATCAATGTTCTTCTTCCTTTAAAGATTTTTATCAATTTGACTAGAGTTTCTTTTGGAGAGTAGGAATCATCCTGATTTTTCCGAAGATCTTTTCCGGAGTCAATCGTTCGGTAGTGCTCAAGAAGTATACATCGACGAAGCATTTAATATTTTTAGTAAATATTCTTTGCTTTTTATAAAAAATTAAAATGGATAGTGTACAAATAATAAGTACAATAAATGCCATGATTATTTTCATGGTTAATGTAAGTATTTTTATCTATATATTCTATTAATTATTTAAGACAGTTTTTATAATAAATTTTTTATTTTTTCAGACTCCTCCGATGCTGCTAGCTAGTTTACCAACTAGCATATTTTATTGCTTAATTATTGCCATTTTAAGAGTGGTAAGTATTTTTTATATAATATTAAATATATTTATTTTTAATCTTTTTATTTTTGCTTTTCAGCTAAATATAATCGTGACGGAGCCGTCGCATAGGCGATATATTCAACAGATATTAACAGTAGTCATAAAGGTATGTATATAAATAATTATATTTAAATAAGTATTTTTAAATAAGTATATATATATATATATTGTTTTCTTAGTTACAGAGCGATGTTCAGAGAATAGAAAGGGCTGCAGTCGAGAGAGCTGTGGCTGAAAGAGCTGCGGCCGAAAGAGCTGCAGCCGAAAGAGCTGCAGCCGAAAAAGCTGCAGCCGAAAAAGCTGCAGCCGAAAAAGCTGCAGCCGAAAAAGCTGCAACTGAAAGAGCCGCAAGCGAGAGGGCCGCTGAGCTCGAAAGGGCCGCGGCTGAAAGAACAGCAAAGGCTGCAAAATATGCAGCTGAAAGGGCTGCTAAAGCTGCGGCTGAGAAGACGGCGAGGGCTGCACAGTCTGCAGCCGAAAAGGCTGCGAGGGCTGCGAACGAAACGACAGCCGTAAAAGCAGCCAAGAAAAGATGTCTAAACGCTGTTCCGTTAGCAGCGTTTACATCTCTTCCGCCAAAGAAGAAATTTCTTAAGGTAAGATTATTTATTATAGATAAATACATTTTTTTATTTAATAACTAAATTTTTTTTAAAATAAATATTATTTTTTAGATGAATGTTGCTACTGATGCTGTGGATCGAAATGAACCATCGAGATGTCCCATGAGTAGCATTGAAAATGCCCTTCCACCGGCAGTCATCGCTACCAGCAGTAGCAGCAGCAGCAGCAGCAGCAGCAGCAACAGTATAATTTTACCTACCACGAGCAAGCAGAAAGTGGTACCTAAGGTAAAATGTATCAAAATAATCGAGGACCCTAGTGTATTTTCCTGTTTTAGCAGGAAACCAACACGACCTACCAAACCATGTGGTAGGAAAAATAATTGAAAATTAAAAAATTTTTTGTAATCTAATTAAATTTAATGTAATGTAATAAAATTAAATAAATTGATTTAAATTTAAAAAAAATATCTCTCTCTCTTTCTCTCTCTCTCTCTCTCTTCCTCTCTCACTCTCCTTCAACGGTAAACATGCTGACTAGATGCATGTCCTAGGAGAGGGGGTAGCATCTCTAGCTGCTTGCTAGCAGCGTACCCCGTATAGCCCTTGGAGAGGGGGTAGCGTCTCTAGCTGCTTGCTAGGAGCGTGCTCCGTATAGCCCTTGAAGAGGGGGATAGCGTCTCTAGCTTGCTAGACGCATACGCTGTATAGTGTAGATGCTGCTCTCTCTCTCTCTCTCTCTCTCGCTCTCCTTTAATAGTAGGGTATTTGGGCCCTTGGAGAGAGGGTAGCATATAGCTTGGTAAGCTATATGCTGCTCTCTTTCTCTTTCTCTAAGCAAGCGCTATAGTATTTTCATTAGATTTCGGGAACCTTTCAACCTCGATTATTATTTTATTCGAATATTAATTAATAAAACTTATAGAATTTTCGTTTAATTATTAATTTATTGTTCATTCAACTATACATTGAATATAATACAGTCTGTCTATAATCTTTATTTTCAGTAGTTGACATCGCTATATTGAAATATTGAATTGAATTTTTATAGGTAATATTGTCCACTTCATCAATACCTTCCATTTCAGATTGCTTCAGTCTAGCTTTTATCCATGAAAACAATCTTTGTGCATTTGTAACGGCACATACAAAGTTAGCTGGTTTATTATAATGATATGTACATATTGTTTCTAATGGGTAAGGTAATGCGCTCATTGGAGGACATCTCATCTCGCTTTCAAGTTCTAAAATTTTTCTAAAAAAGGAAAAAATTTTTAATTAATAATGATTTTAATTTCTAACAAAAAAATAAATAAATAAAAATACTTACTTTTCAGGTAAAATTTTTTGTAACCATTGTTTCTTTGTTAATCCTTTTACATAAATATTTCTAGAATAATTTAAATGATTGTTTAGTACACGTGCTAAATTTTTATATGGAATAAGACCGGATCTCCATAATAAACCATGATGACACGTTTCTAAGAAATGATTCACTTTTCGATACTTGATAGGAAGTTGAAACCAATGATATGGTGGTTCGAAGAAAAACACAGTTGGAACAGTATCTATATCTAATGGTAGATATGCTAGTTCTTTACAAACAAAAGTCTCGTTAAAACTTTGAAAACCTTGAAAATCTATTACGAAATCCATTTGAAAAGATGCTGAAGTTAATGTGAACTCTACTAGTTCCCAAAACCGTTATGAGAGTAGAGGCACGTGTTTGTTCTATATAAAGCCTATACCTCACTATTCGAAAGTAAAGGGCGCCATAGTCAGCATACCTCACCAATCGAAAGTATAGGGCGTCATAGACACTATATAGTATGGTTATAGGTAGTTTTTATTAAATTCCAACAATATATATAATTTATTTTCTTTTTTATTGAAAAGCATCGTATACATTGATTACATAATGTCTTGTTAATTTCAAACTAATTTTTTAACATCACCACTAATCGGGTTATATTGTACAATACGATCGTGTAATATTAAGCAGTAGGCTGCAGTATCTTCAGGAAAATCAGTCCGAGTTTCAAATTCTAGGCGAACATCGACTGGCGCGCTTTTTAATGTTTCATTTTGTTTGGAGCAGTCTATAACTATTAGCGGTACTTTATTAATGAAATCTTTTTTATTGAGTAACGGCTCGTTTTCTTTACCATAATAAGAGTTTTGAAAATTAGTATACATATCGTAGAGAACAGCATACTGATTTTGATTGATATTCAAATTGAGATTTCCATACGGATAGCATTGTGAATTGAGGAATAGCTTCACATTACTAATATTACAATGATCAAAATTACTAGAATTAACACTCGCCGAACTTTTACGTTTAGTTTGAAAAGCTAAAATAACAAAGCGAGGCTTTTCCAATTGATTGGAAGTCTTAACACTCCAAACATGCTTTGATGTACGTGGTAATTTTGGATACTCATACATTTCCCAAGTACG